ATAAAACAATAGTATGCTCCCAGCAAAGTTGACAAATAAGATTAGGGAACTGTCACTTATTTCGTAATTATAGTCCTCTCCAGAGTCAGTCATTTGACAAATACAAGTTCTAAAGTAATTAATCGTTAGAAAATTGCAAGCTCTAAAATAACCAACCGTATAGAGTTTATATTATGATTACTTTAGAACTTGTAATTGTCAAATGACTGACTCTGGGAGGCTATAATTACGTAATAAGTGACAGTTCCCTTACACCAGGTATCATCGAACAGTAGAGTGAGAAGCAGCATCAGCCATTGGTGACTACCTGTGACGGGTGGAATAGGTCGAGAAAAATTGATAAGGCTTCAACGAGTTGCTAGAGGAAAGAGTGCTGTGACATATTCATCAACCCTCTAAATACTGATTGTAGTCTATAGCTTTACGTATCTTTGCGTAAAAATACTTAACTGTAAAAAAAATTTTGTTACAAAACTTACTACAGTATTTGGACCGGTACTTGAGCGTGCATTTAGAGAGGGTGTGCATTTATAGAGGGTGCACTTACCGTATTTGCACGTAATAACGCACATGGGCATTATTTTGAAACAGCCATTTTTTCAAAAAACGTTTATTTGAAAAAAATAACGCCCATGTGCGTCCTGAAATAACGCGCCCCCTTAATATATATATATACTATATATCGACTATATAAATATGAGTAACCAAAATTTGTCAAAATGACTCGAAATATCGCACATGTGCGTCTCGAAATAACGCGCAAGGCTTTGAAATAACGCACAGAAGTGCGTTATTACGTGCAAATATGGTAGAGAGGTCTTATAAACTTACCCGGTAACTATTGGAAAGAATTATTCAAAATTTCTTAATGTTTTTATAAACTTTCGCACAAATTAAATACACTAAACATATTGGGCAAGTGTTCAACCAAAATTTTAATAATGTTGATATTATAATAATATTATTATTTGTAGAACAGTTATTATATTTATTATTTCTTAGACTGTAAAGCAATTCCAAGCAAATTTGCTTGAAAAATTACTATAAATTTGTTTATAATCTACTTTTTTTAAATTTAAAATATTTAAATAATTTTTTTTTTTGATAATATTTGAAAAAAAGATTATATTATAGTAGTATTTAATTTTATATTATAAGAAAAAGTTTGGGTTGCTTATAAGCTAAAAATAGACAAATTTAGAAAAAATTTTTAACTAAAAAAATTATTTACAAATTCTTGACGAATTCTTTAAATGTTAATTTTAAATCTATAGTTCTTAATACAATATTATAGCTTATATAAAGGATAGCAACTTTCATTATTATACTTTTAGTGATTTACTAATAAAAATCAAAACAAGATTTTTTAAAGGCGAAAACATATAAAAATTTAGAAATTTTAAAGAAAAATTTTATAGTGAAAAATTTTTTTTTTTTTATAGTATCTAAAATGCTATGCTATCAGCAAATTCTTTATTAGGTGAGTTATGAAGAACCTTAAATATACATTATTGAGTAGTGAAAGTACAACTAACTACATATACAACTTTTAGTTACCTATTTAAATAGTCTGCCCAAGGGTTTTATACTAGATGCCATACCTATAGCCTAACTAGAAAGCTATCTATTTAAACTCTCTAGCACCCCTGTCCTGTACACCCCTATAAATTTAAGCCTAGCATATCTCATGCTACTACATTTAAAGTCACTCAGATTAACATTTTCTAGCTTTTTACCTTGTTTGTACATATAGTGAAAATTTTTAAAGCAAGAGCTTTAAATTTTTATTACTCTAAAGATTTATAATAAATTTAAAAAATTTTCATAATAAAGTATATAAAATATGTTTTAAATATAATATTGTATATATAAAGTATACCCTATATCATTAATATTTTTTAATTTTATTTAAAAATTGTAAATACTTTTCAAAATTCCAGGCAAATTTGCCTGGAAAACAGTTGAAAGGATAGTAATTTTTGAAATTGAACCAATGATGTAGTTTAATTTATAATATCAATATTACAGTAAATAAAAATTGAATGAATTCAAAAATATATTTTTTATATACCGATTATGCCGAAAAAATTACTTAACCAGATTGGCTGAATAATTTTTTATAGGTGTCCCAGGAATAATGAAAACAGCTATAATCAAATCGGCTAAAAAATCATTTGGTCAATTTTTATCAGATGTTTCAGGAATTAAGAAATAGCTGTAAGTAATGACTGATTTTGAAACAATCCCTGTAACAAAGGCACAGGCAAAGAGCTAGTATATATTAATGCTGAATTCAATTGAAAATAAATTTTCTATAACGATATAACAATAAAATTGAGCCATCTGCTCTTGAATGGCTGACTAAAAAATGGCTCAGCTAAAAAATGGCTTATAGCTATTTTATAGCTATTTTTATAATTCCTGAAACACCTGATAAAAATTAGCCGAATGATTTTTTAACCGATTCGATTAAGTTTGTTGTTATATTTGATTAATTTTTTTGGACCACAAATTTAAGTTTTAAGGACAAAATTTATTATTTATTTTTTAGGATTAAAAAATTATTAGCACTCCGATTTACCATAGTGCACTGACCAAAGTACCTGGTGTGATACGATTTTTTATATAGTGAAAAATTAAAAATCACATGTATTACACAATTGTTTACATCACATGCCACATATAAATAATTTTTTAAAAAATTGTTCTTCATTATTGTCATGCCAGGTACTTAGTCAGTGCACTACGATACATTTAATCCATTTTTTCCATCCCATTAGCACAAGTGTATAGTAAAGTGTATAATAAAGTGGTAAGGTACGGAAACACAAATTAGGACGGATATATAGAAATCATGATACTACATACAGTTTGTAAAAAAAAAAATTTTAAACCAATCCAAAGTTACTTTTTTAAGTCTACATTTGTTAAATGTTATTTTCAAATTTCTGTCAATTAAAAAATTGATGTATGCTACTACTTTAGAAAGTACGAAAAGCATTGTTTTTATAAGGGTTTTATTTCATATTACAGTGATTTCCATTATTTTTTGATATTTCGAAGAGTCTTATTAGTTGAGTTTTGTGAGATACCATGCTTCATAAAATCTTCAATAGGATAACCACAGTTATGTTTATCCAAATGAATATTCAATTCTTCGATAACTCTAATTTTAACTAATTTAAAGATATTAAGAAGCTTGGTTTTAAACCAGATTATATTTTGAATAATCAATTATACTTTCATTTTTTTCGGCCATTTAATCATTTATTTAGCTGTCAACAATTTTTTCAAAGGTTTGAAATGAAAAAGATGAATGACTAATAAAGCATTTGAAGCCATTTTGCAAAGAAAATAATAAAAAATTTTTTTAAAAAAATTCTTTTATTAAACATACTTTAGATTTGATGTATTTACGTTACATTTTAATAAGTATAAAATTTAAATTCACATATGTCAATTATTAATTGACAGAAATTTAAAAGTAAATTTAGTATAATTTTTATATGTCCGTCTGAATCTATACCGCCATACAGTACTACTTTACTGAATACCTATTAGCGCAAACCAACAAATGTACAATTTAATAGTTTTCAATGATCGTCAGAAACATTGACAGACAGAAAATTTAAAAAGTATATCATCATTATATAAGAATAATAACATTGCATATATGTGAAGTCAATTAAATGACTCACAATAGGTGGTCAAAATTTTCAAATTTTAGGTATTTTACAAATTCACCGTAATGAAATATTATCTCTAGCAGATTGATATTTTCAAAGCATCTTTGCAGAAAAATATTTTTAAAAAAATTTCGAGGCATATCATTTCGAAAAATTACCAAACACTTAGGTTTAGCATATCCTTTATAAGTCGGGCTCTAATCAGTTTCAAAAATATAGATGTATTGAAAAGTTTCAGTCACTTTTCACTGAACTACAATCTATGACAATTTGTGCAATATGTTTATTATAAAAGTCTAATTAATATATAGTGCATTTTTTATATTTCTTGTTAAGACTTAATTGACACAATAAATCAATGTTGTCAATTGGACAACTTTTTATATGTCCAAAACTCTGTCCAAAACTATTAAAACTGTTAAAAACTGTCCAATTGACAACACTGCATTAAACCTAAGTTTAATAATGTTGACATATTATTACAACAGTCTGTAGAACAGTCACTATAAATCAAAAATAGTTTTTATTATACGGATCATGCCGAAGTTACAAATAATTGAATCGGCCGAAAAATCATTCGGCCAATTTTTTATCAGGTGTTCTAGGAATTATGAAATGGGAAAGTCTCCGGACACCTACCGATTTTGCATCTACCTAGTTAGCGTTAGGGTTAGAGTTTTTTTATGATTGGTTGATTTATATTCGTTAGGTGTAAAATTCACGTGTACAGTATGGTAGGTGTCCGGAGACTCTCCCTTATGAAAATAGCTGTAATTTCTGTAACACCTGCTCATTACCTGAAATCTTTTTGGTCGTTCGGTAAATTACCTAACTCTCCAGAAATTACATCACTGTCTCCGGATTGAAGGTCCGAAGACAGCGATGTAGTTTCCGGAGAGTTAGGTAATTTACCGAACGACCAAAAAGATTTTGGGTAATGAGCAGGAATTATGAAAATAGCTGTGACTAAATGGGGTGTTGTACGACCTCCTGATTCACGTGCAGATAATTTTTATATATGAAGTCAATGATCGATAATCCATTATTTAAGAATGTTTTCAAATCGAATTCTTTCGTTTTTAATTCGAAAAAATTTTACAAATAAAATTCGTCATAAAAGTATTAATTTTTCATTCCTATCAAATTATCATACTTGGCATGAAAAAGATGCGAGTATTTTACAAAATAATGTTGATACAAAAAGCGAAGAATTTAAAGTAATATATTATGATAACATTAAATAATTAGCACTTTTTTTACCCATTTTTTCCGATTATTAAATTTATTGATTCTGGATAGCATAACGCTATTAAAATGAACGAATTGGTAAAAGATTTAGAAACGCTTATAAATAAAATTTCTTTAGGTAATTTTTTTACAAGCCATAACTGAATTTATGTAATAATTTATTTAAATAAAAACTCTTATAATTATTTTTACCACGTTAGGTGGTGGTGAAAAAGCTAGAAAGCGTCATTTGGATCGTAAAAAGCTGTTGCCTCGTGACAGGTATTTTTTTTTTTTTAAATAAGATACATTGCCTACGAAAAATAATTTTGATTCCATATGATATATTATAATATTCGTTGATTTATCATAAGGAATTTTTAGTGATCGAAGACCTTTTTGGCAGGCAAAGTATACAGAATTTATATCAAACATTTTCCTTTACATTATTATCTAAACTTTTACTCGTTGTATTTTCTATATTTAAACAATCACTTATTAGGATAAATCGATTAATAGATAATGGGTTAGTTAATTCTTATCCGATGATTACATATGAAGAATGTTTATTGTCATAATTCCTTCATCTAAATTTATGTAATTTTAGGTCGCCTTTCTTAGAATTTTCACAACTTGCTGGGTACAAATTATATTCAGAGGATATACCTGCAGGTGGAATAATTACTGGAATTGGTCGTGTTTCAGGGTTAGCAAAAATTTCATTTTGAAAAAATTTTCGAAAAAGAAGTGATGAGATTTAAAATATTTAATATAGAGTGGAGTGCGTCATTGTTGTAAATGATTCTACTGTTAAGGGTGGTACTTACTATCCTATCACAGGTAAAAAAAAAAATTCATTTTCCTTCTCAAATTAACATTTTATATTTATTTAACAATAATCTTTACTATTATAGTGAAAAAGCATTTGAGAGCACAAGAAATTGCACTCGAAAACCGACTTCCATGCATATACTTAGGTGCAAAATCTAAATAAATTAAATTTCATCAAAAATATATATATATATATTCATTTATTTCGTTTATTTAAAATTTTTTTTTTTAATTCAGTTGATTCAGGAGGTGCCAACCTTCCTCAACAAGCAGAGGTATTTCCCGATCGTGACCATTTTGGACGTATATTTTATAACCAGGTTAGTGATTTAACTTTTTATTTACATTTAAAGAATCTATAAATTCATGAATATCAGAACAGGCAACAATGTCTGCTGCAGGAATTCCACAAATCGCGGTTGTGATGGGATCTTGCACAGCAGGTGGAGCTTACGTTCCTTCTATGGCTGATGAAAGTATTATTGTTGGCAAACAAGGAACAATTTTTTTAGCTGGTCCACCATTGGTTAAAGCAGCCACTGGTGAAGTTATCACCGCAGAAGAACTTGGAGGTGCTGATTTACACTGTAAGTATAGATTAATTTATTATTGATTTTAAAGTATTTTTAAATATTTAATATTACACATATTCATATTATTTGATCACTTAATTTTAGGTCGAACATCTGGCGTAACTGATTATTACGCTACAAATGATGAGCACGCACTTCAGCTTGCAAGAAATGTTGTTGGCTCTCTTAATTGGATAAAAAAACCAAACGTAAACAATATTTCCTTTTTCTTTTTTTAAATTAAATAATACAGGCATTTTTAAACATATAATGAAATATATTTTTCAAAATCTAGATCACGATGAGAACACCAGAAGAACCTTTATATTCTGCATCAGAGATTGGTGGCATTGTGGGTGATAATTTACGTAAACCATTTGATGCTAAGAATGTGATTTCACGGATTGTTGATGGAAGTCGCTTTCGTGAATTTAAAGAATTATATGGAACATCATTAGTTACTGGTAAGACTTTTCTGTATATTTATATTTTTTTAATTATTTATTGAAAGAAAAAGGTGACATATGTTTTTACATCACAGGATTCGGACACATTCACGGCTATCCTGTTGGGATCGTTGCAAATAATGGCATTCTTTTCTCGGAATCAGCTCTAAAAGGAGCCCATTTTATTGAACTTTGTTCACAACGTGGGATACCGCTCATTTTTTTGCATAATATTACAGGTTTCATGGTAGGATCATCAGCAGAGGCAGGAGGTATTGCTAAGAATGGTGCAAAAATGGTCACTGCTGTATCATGTGCAAAGGTACCAAAATTTTCGATAATTATTGGTGGTAGTTTTGGAGCTGGTAATTATGGTATGTGTGGAAGGGCATATAGTCCACGATTTTTATGGATGTGGCCGGTAAGTTATATATATTTCAATTCTTATTTGGATTATTTAACGTTTAATTAATATTAAATTAAATCATGACAGAACGCTCGTATATCTGTTATGGGTGGTGAACAAGCAGCAAGTGTTTTGTCACAAATTAAACAAGACTCAGCGACAAAAAAAGGCGAGGAGGTAAGCAGTTATTAATACGAAAATAAAAAAACATAATTTTATTCTTTATAATTAATTAAACATATTATTAGTGGTCGGCACAAGAAGAAGAAGAGTTCAAAAATCCAATTCGTGCTAGATACGAACTTGAAGGACATCCATATTTTTCGTCATCACGTCTTTGGGATGATGGAGTTATTAATCCTGCGGATACACGTAAGGTTCTTGGATTAGCACTTAGTGCTGCTCTAAACGCGCCAATTGAAAAAACACAATTTGGAGTATTTAGAATGTAATAGAATGGTTTGATTTTATTATAAACATGTTAATAGGATAACTTTTTTTTGTAATAAATATAAACATTTAAAAATTATATTATTTAATACTGGTTTAATAATTGTCACGGATGATCATGAAATCGAATAATGGTGAAATTTGGCCTAATTTAATATGAAATTTTAGAATTTTTTATGGTGTATTATCCTAGCTTTTTTTAGTGATAGGTAGTGTTTCGATCCTATTTTTTAAGAGCTATTCGGATTAAATTTGGATTCTACTTTGTGTATCCGGATGATAATCCGAATCTGGATTCAACTATAAATCCGTATTCTACATGTGGTTTATAATGCGCTTATTTATCCGTGGCTTTGCTACAAAACATGAATGAAAATTTTATCAGTCAAATTTATTTTTACTGGTCTTAATTAACATTTAGACAGTTGTCATTGTAAATATTATATACTTTTTGATTTATTTCATTCGCATTTAATCGTTAGCATAGTTTTATTGATCAAAAATCTATATAGACAGGAACATTAAAACATATAATGTTGAAATTGTTATATCCACATAGATGGAACGTTTAGTAATTGTTATGATAAAGGAGTTGAATAAACTTAAGACATTCATTTGTTATTAAAAATCTGCTAAAATGAGGAATGTTAATAGGATATTTGTGCATGGCAACTGTTAATGCCTACAGATTAACTCAAACACAACCACGAACGAATATATATTGGCATTTTATTTTGCACAATTGATATAATACTTCTATAACTTAGCTTGATGACTCTTACAAAACAATGTAAGCATGGACGAGTGAAAATAAGAACATTGATGATGGCATTAAAGAACTTCAGCTTAAATGATAATAGTATCCAGGATAGATTTTCAGTGACTTAGTTAGGCGGCGTATGATTAATTCAGGATAGATATAGTAAAAAACACATATGTCATGTATACTGCCATGGGTAATTACAAGTATGGACAAGTGGAAATAAGGATATTAATTATTGCAATAAAAAATTTCAACCTAATGCTACAGAATAACTGAGTAGATTCCTTTTAATAGATGCTAATTGGCTGGAACGAAGTGGAAAGCCTTGCTAACTTACTCCATCACATAGCTTCCACCTTTGTAATTATGACGGGGATCGCTACACTTACAATAAAGACATATAGATTGTGTATAGATATCTAGAATTATAATCCGGATAATCCTTATATATATATACGGATCTATCCTTTAAAATTAAAGAATCCGGTGTTATGCTCAAATTTCTATTTTTAGTTAGTATCATATTATTCTTCATTATTTATGTACTTCTTATTTTGGTATAGTTTGTGGCATAGCGAGGGATTGAAACCCCAAGCGAGGGATAGAAACCCCAAGCGAGGGATTAAAACCCCACATGAATTAAAGATATATAAGGGTGTGGTTTCAGTCTGCGAACAGGGGTTAGATGATAATTAATGAGTTAATAGTATTTTGAGTATTATTGTAATATTCCGATGTATTGATTTATATTAATAAAGAGAAACCTTAACCCGTAATTATGTGTGTTAGTTTATCGAATTAAACCATTTACCCTTAACCACTATTTGTCTACGATCGAAGCTAAATTGGTCCAAGACCCTATAAGCTCTCCCACTCGATCGTAACACCGGATATCCGAATCTAATCCGACTTGTCGGATCCATCCGAATTAATCGGATACGGATCGAAACACTAGTTATGACCATATGATAAACAGAAATTTTTTGCAAATTTTTTTGCTATGTACGAAGCAGAATTTGTATTTTTTTTTAAAAAAAATTTTTTTTTAAACAAAAAACGATAAAATATGAAAAAATATTTAATAGCAAAAAGCAATATATGAATTCAGAAAAAAAAAAAAAAACTTTAAAGACGTCGCACCCCGAAGGGATTGACAAATGCCTTAAATATGTTGAGGAGGGATAAAATCCCAATTCCGTCCTTATCGAGGGGATTGCCAACTATCTCTCCTTTCTTATCAACACAACAGTATGTGAAGATCATTGGCTTATATAATCTTGTTTGATTATGAATTTATAAAATTATGGGATTGAAAATTTGTAATATTTGATCGGATTGGCTGAAGTGACAAAGTGGTGACAGAAATTCGTGATCAGGTGATCGCCGATGCTTCCGAACCCCTTCGATGCAGCCCGAAAACTTTATATAACCGCATAAAGTTTTCAGGCTGCATCGAAGGGGTTCGGAAGCATCGGCGATCAACTGATCGCGAACTTTTTCTGCCACCACTTTGTCACCTGATTGGTTGACACTTTTAACGTGATTTCTCATGCGATCAATTTAGGAATACAATATAAATGAATACTGAAATATATACAGAAAGGTGGACTCTTGCGTATTTATTCATGCGGTACAAACTTGCGGAGAAGCTTGTTTATTTATTAAATTCTGTTTCAGTATTTAGATCAATATTTTAAAACAAAAACAGTAGATTCAGATTCATAATTTCTTGGTCGAAATGTGAATTTTACTTGAAGACAACTACGAAAAAAAAACTATTATTATATTTTAAACTTAAAAAACAGAGATTTAAATAGGATTTATAATTTACTAGCTCATACTAACAAAAACCGAGAACTTTTCGTTCAAGTTGGTTTCATACACCTTCGAAAGCAAATGTATTCGGATAATGGAACATGTAGTGGTGGAAGACCACATATTTGAATGCATTTTCCTTCTTTAGTCTCACAAAAGTTTGGACGTTGTGAGGGATGAAGATCAGATTCCTCAAAGTCCACGGATTCATTATCAGACGAAGGATAAGCGAAAACGGTGAAAGCTGAAAGAAATAAGAGCAAAATGTAACAAAGTTTCATATTTATCAATGATAATATGATATTGTTAAGTTCGAATGGTTAGTTAGGCTCACAGTCTTTATATAGCTTTATGGTGAGTGCATTTTTGATCAATAATTACTGTATTTGGCTTCACCTTCACTAGTTAGATTAATTACCGTAAAACTATGATATAATTCCCTGGGCGTTATTTCGAGAATTTCTGAGCTTGATTATAAAAATTTTATATAAATTTGCCGGTTCATTCATTAAACTATTTATATATTTATGATTGATATTTCCACACCCACCCCGCCGATCATTCTAATTTTTACAATTTTTTCGAAGATATCTCGACATTTACCTGACCAAATTCGACAAACTTTTTTTTTTTTTGAGTTCTATAGAATTTTACCATTAAAATAAAAACAAGGTGATTGAATTTAGTCAGGTGGTTGTCGAGATATCTTCGATCAAAGTATTGAAAATTTAACTTAACGTCTATCAAATAGAAGCTGTTGCAGATTGTTGTGAAACATTGATCGAAGATATCTCAACATCCACCTGATTAAATTTGATGATCTTTTTTTTCTTTAAATTCTACAATTCTATAATTAAAATAAAAAAAGTTCAATGAATTTATTGTCATGGTGATGATCAGGGTTAGGTACGGTCACGGGTTACCCGATCATGACTGGGTAACGTCTGAATTTAATTAAATGTCTATCGGCATTGCATAATGCGTGTAACCGGGTAATCTAGTACCCGGATTGATAGTCTCTAATAAAAAAGTATCGATTCCAAAGGAATCGATAACAAGTTAGTTTGCTTATTGAATACACATTCTTAGTGACAAACGGTAGTATAGGTGGTAGTGCCTGGTACGATACGCCAGCGCCAAGTGAGTGTTCTGTCTAAGTGGAAACGAATGAAGACCCCTATAACTGTGAATCGCTACGACAATAGTCGAGATATCTTCAATTAAAGTTTTTAAAAAAATTAAAAAAATTAGAGTTTTCGGTGGGGTGTGGCATTATCAAAAAAGGGTGTAATTTCCTAAATTTATTTATTTATAAAAATTTATGTTCGTTCGTTAAATTATTCTCTAACAATTCTTAATACCTTTCATAAAAGAAAAGTTTGCTAAATATTATGTTAATATTGCTTTTTATTGAAAAGAAGGTTTCTTGGGCAAAAAAAATAAATCCTATTGAATTAAAATGCCATGTCTGTTAAACAATTCTTTATGAAAAAGTTCATTGTATAATTTCGTTAGCAAATTCTTTATAAAATGAAAATATCAAATATATAGATTATTGTATGCGAGGCATATTATAACGGGTAGGGGTGAAAAAAACGGTTTAAACAGTTTTTTAGATGTTTTAAAACTTTTTAAAAAACTTTAAAATATTGGCGCTGAGACTAAATTTAAAATTTAGTGCTAAAATGCTGATTCACCAAATTTCATAGAGATAACTTTTAAAGAAAAAATATTCACTTTATAAACTTTCGTTATTATATAATTACAAGAAATGCGCAGTTGCATAACTACATTTATATATATATAATTTTTTTATTTTTTGTACGCTCTTTTTATAATGCATAACTATAAATTTAATTATCATCATCGAAACAACCATCAATCTCAATTTCTTTTTGAATTCTTAAATCTGCAACAATTTTTTTACCGTTCATTATTTATAACTTTTTGGAAGCTTTTTTGCATCTATACATTAGCGATCCTTTAATTAAGCGACCAAATCTACAAAGTCCTCTTCACAGTAGTTACACTTTTGGCAATGCGCAGTTTCCGTAACTTTGTAAAGTTCAAGCGAATTTCTTTCAATGGGGGTCTCCCACGGAGCATGATTGTTTATAATTTTATATTTTAAAAAGAAATAATGATAAAGTTGTATTTTGATGAAATTAGTTAAATAAATAAATAAATACTATCCCATTGTTACGTATTATGATTACGTCAGAATGTATTAAAACCAGTTTTAAATCAAACAAACATGTTTTAAAACATTTTCCATCCCTAATAACGGGTGGTATTTCATGTTGCTACCATTCCACTTTTATAGTGCAGATTCAAATATACTGTGGCATAAATTAAGATCAATATAACAATCAAAAATTGACGGTATTAGAGTAATGTTTTACTCAGTTAAGCTAGTCAGAAAATAAGCATATGGGTGGCTTTGCGGAATTACGTACTACTAAAAATGACGAAATGTTTAACAATGAAAAATTTTTATTCACTGTCCATTTTAGGTGATTTTACCATAATAATGACCGCCTCGATGAGACAATTCTAATGAGCCCAAAAACGGCAAAATCCAATCGCAGGATAATTTAGCTTGGGTAAAATAGGATGGGTTAAACCAATCCTATTTTACCCGAAGCAGCCAATTTTTTAAATATCTCGGGATTTTGAATCGTCTCATCGGGACGGCCATTTTTGGTGGTAAATATTTACCATTTTTAGTAGTAAATCCGCCCATATGAATACATTGTTTGTATAAATACGTACTCAATTTTTGTCAAAGATATTTAACACGTATAATTCGAATAATAATTTTTGAAAAAAACTGAATAAAATAATTACAAGGGTCAGGATATTTTTAAAAAATATTTTCATAGTTACATTAGGGTGTCAAACATTAATTATAATTAATCAAAACTATGTGAAATTGGCCAATAAATCTATAATGATAAATTTTTTCCGAAATGTAGATCAATTTTTATATTTTGATATCGATCACTATATAAAAAGTTCACATTTATTTCATTCATACAAATTTTGATTATTAATGTAAAAATTTTTCTTTGTAATTTTGTTTCTATTGATGTTATCATCATAAATAAAAAAAACGAGTTATAAATAACGGATAAATAAGTTTGTGCATCTAATTTTATACCATTAAATACAAATTAATTTATTGTATAAAACGGGCACTTACAACCCAAAATTGAGTTTTTCATCAATGCGAAAGTTTCAATTAAAGCTGTATAAACAAAATTTGGTTCGCAAACAAACTCTGATGAAATTATTCAGCATCTGGAATTTGTCTTCAGCTAAATTTGTGTATATACCAAAGATGGCGCCGAAACCTTTTTTGGCAATTCCGAAAGTTTCGGGTTTCGGATTATAGCTTCCGAAACCTTATCCGAAACCCGAAACCTCAACCGAAACCCCGAAACTGGCTTATTCTCTCCGAAGTTGTCGCCGAAACCCTTTTGTACCAAATCCGAAGTTCCGGGCTTCAGATTATAACTTCCAAACATTATCCGAAACTCGAAACCTCACCCGAAACCTCACCTGAACACCAAAAACTACCAAACTTCTATATACATTGATTGTATTAATGTATTATATATCACTTTCAAATGCGCTGATGTATGCTATGTATCTCTTTAATATGCATTAATCGCACTGATGCATGTTATATATCTCCTTAAAGAATTCAATAAAACTTGAATATCCAGCGCTATTTTGGCTGGAATGCATTCAACAATTTGACCAGATTTAAAAAAAAAACCAGAATAAACCAAAAATAAAATGATCTATACAATGTTATAATTTATTCAAAAATAATTTTACATTTTGGGTTCATTAAAAATAACTCAACTTTATAATAAATTTTAAAAGCTTCAATACTATATTGTTGAGTTTCGGATTATAGGCTTGGGTTTCGGATTATAGTTTCGGGGTTTCGGAGTTTCGATTTTTTTAAAAAATCCGAAACTAGTTTCGGATTAGAACCCTTCCGAAACTAGTTTCGGGTAGGTTTCGTTTCGACGC